AGGAGATTACTGTTCTCATGCCTGCTAACACAACATCATTCTGCAGTCCATGACTTAAAGAGTAATTTCTACTTTCAAAAATGTTTAAGAAATACACTTTGTAAGGCTACCACTGTGATAGACAATGTTTCCTCTAATGGGTTTGGAAAAGGAAACTGAAAATCTTCTGGAAAGAATTCACTATTCTAGATGCTATTAAGAATGTTCATGATTCGTAAGAGGAGATCAAAATAGTAACATTAACAGGAGTTTGGAGGAAGTTGATTCCAAACCTCATGGATGACTTCGAGGATTGCAAGACTTCAGTGGAGAAAGTTACTGCAGATGTGATAGAAACACCAAGAGAACTAGAATTAGAAGTGGAGCCTGAAGATGTGACGGAATTGCTGCAATCTCATGATAAACCTGAAGAGGTAAGGAATTACCTCCTGTGGTTGAGCAAAGAAAGTGGTTTCTTGAGATGGAATCTCCTGGTAAAGACGTTGAGAACATTGTTGAAATGACATCAGAGACACATAAACTTAGTTGATAAAGCAGTTGCAGGGTTTCAGAAGGACTGACTCCAATTTTGAAAGAAGTTCTGCTGTGGGTAAAATGCTATCAAACAGCATTGCATGCTACAGGGAAATCTTTTGTGAGAGGATGAGTCAACTGATATGGCAAATTTCACTGTTGTTAGATTTTAAGAAATTGCCACGGCCACCCTAAACTTCAACAACCACCACCCTGAGCAGTCAGTAGCCATCAACATTGAGGCAAAACCCTCCATCAGCAAAAAGATTATGGCTTACTCAAGGCTCCGATGATCATTAGAATATTTTAGTAATAAAGTATTTTTAATTAAGGTATGTATATTTTTCAGACACAATGCTATTACACACTTAATAGACTACAGGAGAATATGATCATAACTTTTATATGCATTGGAAAACAATTTGTGTGACTTGCTTTATTACAATATTTGCTTTATTGAGGTCGTCTAGAACCAAACTGCATTGTCTCCAAAGTGTGCCTGCAGTAATTTTAAAGTAGAGAAACTGGCAGATACGATATTTACAATGTGTTCAAAGTTAACACCACCAGTAATGAACAAAGAGGTATCATGTGCCTCTCAATCTGATGCACTGAGAAGAACACATCACCTCTCTGATATTCTTGACAAAAATGTTCTTGCCAAACCTGAATCTGGTCATGAGGAAACAGACAAACCCAACTTGAGAAAGATTCTACAAAATAACTGGCCTGTACTCTTTAAATGACTTTTAGTTTATGAAAGGAAAAAAAAAAAAAGCTGAAGAAATATGACAGAGTAAAGAGGACTCAGGAAACATGACAACTGTGATCCTGGCCTTGAAAAGAGGCAACTGAAAAATTTGGATAAAGTCTGTAGATTAGATAATAATATTAAATTAATATTAATAGCTAGATTTTTATTGTTATGGTGATAAAACAGAATGTCCCTATTTTAAATAAATACACAATGAAGTATTTAGAATTGAAGGAGCATCATATCTGTAACTTGATCCCAAACGTTCAGAAAATTTATATATATGCATACCTTATATACATACATGTGTGTGTACATAGAGAGAAAGAATGACCAACTAAGTGTGGTAAAGTGTAAAATATTATCATTTGGGAAATCTAGGAAGACTACATAGAAATTCTTTGTAACATTTTTATTTTTGCAAATTCTCTTAAAGTTTCTAAGAAAAAAAAAAAAATGGCTGGGCACGGTGGTTCATGCCTGTAATCCCAGAACTTTGAAAGGCCAAGGCAGGCGGATCATTAGGTCAGGATCAAGACCATCCTGGGTAACACAGTGAAACCCCGTCTCTACTAAAAATACAAAAAATTAGCTGGGTATGGTGGCATGCGCCTATAGTCCCAGCTACTTAGGAGGCTGAGGCAGGAGAATTGCTTGTACTTGGGAGGCAGAGGTTGCAGGAAGCCAAGATCACACCACTGCACTCCAGCCTGGGAGACAGAGCAAGACTCCATATCAAAAACAAAAAACAAAACAAAAAAAAAGGCTGGGCATGGTGGCTCATGCCTATAATCCCAGCACTTTGGGAGGCTGAGGCGGGTGCATCACGAGGTCAAGAGATCAAGACCATCCTGGTCACCATGGTGAAACCCCATCTCTACCAAAAATACAAAAATTAGCTGGGCATGGTGGTGCGTGCCTGTAATCCCAGCTACTCAGGAGGCTGAGGCAGGAGAATTGCCTGAGCCCAGGAGGTGGAGGTTGTGGTGAGCCGAGATCGTGCCATTGCACTCCAGCCTGGGTAACAAGAGCGAAACTCCATCTCAAAAAAAAAAGGCCAAGAGTGGTGGCTCAAGCCTGTAATCCCAGCACTTTGGTTGGGAGGCCAAGGCAGGTAGATCCCTTGAAGTCAGGAGTTCAAGATCAGTCTGGCCAACATGATAAAACCCCATCTGCAGTAAAAATACAAAAATTAGCCAGGAGGAGTGGTAGGCGCCTGTAATCCCAGCTACTTGTGAGGCTGAGGATGGAGAATCACTTAAGCCTGGGAGTCGGAGGTTGTGGTGAGCCTAGATCATGCTGTTGTACTCCAGCCTGAGAGTGCAGACTCCATCTCAAAAATAAAAGTAAAAATCAATAAACAAAAACTTAGGAATCCCCAATGTCCTTTGCTCCCCCCCACTCCCAACATTAAGAAGCACTGCAATGTCCTGGGCAGTCCTCCCTGAAAGCTATCATGGGACACCCCAGCAGCGAGGTCAATAGGGCATCAATGTATCTCTAAACCCCAGAGCCTAACACAGGGCCTGGCATACACTAGGGGTTCGAAAAAGGGCCAATGAATAAATGAACTACAAGAAAGGTCCAAAAGTGTAAGCAAACCCCAATTTGTGACTCTTCCTCTGCAAAGCTCTTAGGGACTGTGGGTGTCTTGTATAAATGCTGGGTGGGAACGATGAGCAAAAGGCATTGGAATGGAGAGTAAGTTGCAGCTCTACTCTAAGGGATCCTTTTTATTGAGGAGGCAGGGGAGTGCAGCATGTACCCTTGGACAGGCCTGCAAAGGCTCTGCTCTCCTGAAAGGTACTATGTGTCCCAGCATACAAGGTCTCTGTTGGATCATGCATAAGCCACATAATGCATTAAGGTAAGAAGAAATAAACACCAAGATGCCTTAAGATAACAATAAGGATTGAAATAGCTTCATATTCAGTAAACCCTTCATCATGAAAATAATGCCTTATAACATTCTGTTCTTACTTCCCAAGCCACTAGTACTTGGTTTTTCAAATTCACATTGTTTTTGTACGAGGTCTGAAATTAGCATCATTTTCAATATCAAAGTTCAAGAAAACCTTCAAAAAAGTTTGAGATGAAAAATATGACTTTGTTTTAAAAATGCAGCTAATTCACTAATGTCCCAAACTGATTGCCTTTCGAGAAAAATTCAATTCTGAATAGTGACGAAGGAAAAAAACGTGTAATCCACAGGCCATGGAAATGCATTAGGGGATGTTCCTATAACCCACAGAAAATAGGGACCTAGAAGAAATGTGCTTTTTCTTAGCCAAGTTACAATTTCACAATCATGAACACTGTGCCACAATATTCCAGAGAAAAAATAAACAAGCCTAACTACAGCACATAACAGAGGGTAAGACTCAATATTGCAAACTTCTTTTGCATATTAATTCAAACAGAGGCCTTTTCACTTTATAAGGAATATAATTTTCAAGGATCTCTAGCTGAGATTGCTATGCTCACTGGTAGGGACTTATCTACCGATTTATTTGAAAATAAGTACTTGTGGCAAACCCAAATTATAATGAGAGGAAAAAAGCAAGAACATCCTACAATAAATAATGCACGGGGAGCCCACAAACGAACCAGGGCAAGTTGGTACAGCTGCACCCTCTTCCCCTTTACTTGACACATCAGAGAGGCCAATTAGTTCTCAGTCAGAAGTCCATTCCTTCCTCTAACTTAATTCCTCATGGCAGATACTTAACTCGACCTCAGAGTCTTAGTGGCCAGCTATTAGTTTCTCCCTAATACCGCTCAGCTTTCCATCTCCCATTTCAAAGCTGCCCCACCTCTCTACCACCGGAGAACCTAAGCATCACATGCTTCCCTTTATTTGAGACAGAGCCTTGCTCTGTTACCCTGGCTGGTGTGCAGTGACTCCATCTTGGCTCACTGAAACCTCGCCTCCCCGGTTCAAGTGATTCTCCTGCTTCAGACTCCCTAGTAGCTGGGACTACAGGCACGCGCCACCACACCTAGCTAATTGTTTTGTATTTTTAGTAGAGACAGGATTTCACTGTGTTTGCCAGGGTGCTCTCGATCTCCCGACCTCATGATCTGCCTGCCTCAGCCTCCCAAAGTGCTGGGGTTACAGGTGAGAGCCACTGAGCCCAGCCAGCATCAGCATGCTTCCTTCCAGGCTCTCTCAGGGGTACTTGTCTGTAAAACCCAAACGACTGGGCACATCAGCTTCTCCCCTTTCTGTGCTCAGTATCCCACCTGTTCCAGACACAGTCTAGTCCTTAGGCTCCCAATGATGAGGGTCTATCAGTGCCAGGTAAAATCACGAGGATTAATGGTGATCTGTACCCTAACCCAAGGGTTCTGGAAGAAACCCCTCCTTTTGTGGAGTTCATACAACCTCAGATATGTATGCAGATAGGTAGACAGCATGGTACTGTTAGCACTTCAATCATTATCAACCAAACTCTATCTTCCCCACCCCCAGCCCCTCTCATTTCTCTGTGAGAACCCATAGCTATGAATACCCCTGGGCTGCTCTACAACTGGGATGAGAGTGGCACATCCATAAAAATCATGCCCCTGCCGATTTTTGTCTAAAGAGGAAACACAGACACCATACCAAAGGATAATATGACAGTTCTAGAAATCTGACCCTTCATGCTGGTTATCAGCTCCTGGTGTTTCATCACCAATGAAAAATGCAGAAGCTTTGCCTCTTGGTCCCCACCCAACTGGTTCTTCTTACCTTTGGTTCCATTGAAATGAAACTGTGGGTCCCTCTGCTCGAGATAACTGACCTTTTAATCGTCCTGCTATGGTAGAAGTGGTAGTAGTCCTTTAGAGCCCCTATCTGGAAAGGAAGGGTGGGAAAGAAAGAACAAAATGAAGATATTAATGGATGGAAACCATATTCTGTTTTCCTGTTTTTCATTTAAAAAGAAACACAAAACAAAAAAGGTCTATAAATTATGCAGCTGCTGGCTGTGCTTAAATGTTACCTGAACCCTGGTGATCACTTTTCAAAAGAAGGACATGTGGTATGAAATGGAGTGTCCTTGAGGCAGTGACTGCGGAACTCAAGATTATAATGGGGCAGCTTAGCCTCTCCAAATCTCCTTTTAATGTTTAATTTATATGCAGCATTTTAAGTAATTCTATATCAATCTATACCCAAATGTGGGAAAGAGGGGGAAAAGTCAAATAGCTATCTAGTTATAAAAACACATTGCATTTTGTTTGCTCTGAGAAATGTACAATGAAGGATCTTGTTAGATTATTTATATAGTTAATTTGAAATGTCTTAAGCAATTGATCATTCAAAAAGATAATATGACTTCGTTTGTTTCTGACTTCTGTAGGCAGTATAAATATATAGCTCTTATTCATTTATTATAAAACTACAAGTAAAATTGCAGCTTCTAAAATAAAACAAAATTCATACATCCTACCTATCAGTAAGCTTCCTGTATAAAAACATTTGGCTCCACTTTATCTTATCCATTTCTATAATGTTCTAGCCCTCTCATTTACATACACCTTTCCTCAGCTAGGTCTATTTAGAATGGCTTTGAAAATAAGCCCTGTCTACTTTGGGAAAAAACCAGCTAGCAAAACCTCAACCAACCATATTTTCTCAGCAAATTATAAAATGTGAATCACAGAATGAAAATTGAACTATGCACTGAAGACAGAAGAGATTGGTTCTAATTCCAGCAGACACTCACCACAGCTCAATAGCATATACTACATCTCTGTTTCCTTTTCTATAAAATGGGACTTTGGGCTAGTTAATTTCCAAGACCACTGCAGTGCCCAAATTCCATTCTTTGACACTCACATGCTTTGGGCAAACACTATAGTGGCTATGTCTCCAGGACATCCACGGCTCTGCCCTAAAATAATGACTATCATCAGGATGTTTTCCAATTGGGGCAAGTCAAAAGTTCAGCTTTCCTAATTTAAAAAAGAAAAAAGTCTTGGCCCAGGTTAATTTTTCCAGATGAAAGGTTTATTTCTCATTCCCTTGTTTTCATCACATTTTCAACCATCATCCCACTCAATTTCTGTGCTATTTAGAAATCATCTCCTCACTAGGGCTTTACACAGTAATTGAATGTCTCATCATTAAGATTTGAAAGAAAGTCTAAGTCTCACATTTTTTATTCAAGTGGAAACTGTTCTGACCTACACAGATGAAATCCTGGACTCTGAAAACAACTGGGGAATGCAGGTGGGGAAGCCTCTCATCTCAATGATCCTGGACTCTAAAGCAGCAGTGAACAATGAGGAAGAGGGCAGAGATGCCAACCCCAGCCTCCAGGAGTGTTTTAAGGAGGGATTTACAGGCCCGTTTTAAGATTCCAGAGGCCTAAGAGTAGAATTCAGGAGTGGTTACATAATCCTTTACAAGAAAACCTTAAAATCCCAAGAAGCTTAGAGTTTTCATCTTCTGTAACTTTTGTCAAGAGCTTTCTTTGGTGAATACAGTAGTTCTCAAGGAAAGAAACAGAATCTCCATAAGGAAGATCCTCACAGAACAATCCCCTCTCATATCTGTTTTCTACCCAGCAGCTGGAAGGAAGTTTTCAAAATGCAAATCTGGCTGTGTTCCATGTCCTATCCTGCCTAAAATCCTTTAGTAGTTTCCCTTTCCTCTTAAAATAAATAGTGTCAGTCAATAATTATAACTACTTCAGAATATAGTTTTAAAAAGTAAATCAGAAAAATAATATTGTATTAAACTTTTATTCACACTGTGCCAGGAACTATTCCGTAAGTTTCATCTAACTCACTGAATAGAATATTATCCTCCTCTGACTTAGGGGCCTGCATGGTCTGGCCCAGCCTCTCTCTCTAGCCTCACCTCAAATCACACTCACCCTCATTTTCTCTGTACTCTGGCTGATATTGTTTGGCTGTGTCCCCACCCAAATCTCTTCTTGAATTGTAGCTCACATAATTCTCTCATGTTGTGAGAGGAACCCATTGGGAGATAATTGAATCACAGGAGTGGGTTCCCCCATACTGTTCTCATGGTAGCAAATAAGTCTTAAGAGATCAGCTGGGCACAGTGGTTCATGCCTATAATCCCAGCACTTTGGGAGGCAGAGGTGGGTGGATTACTTGAGGTCAGGAGTTCAAGACCAGCCTGTCCAACATGATGAAACCCTGTCTCTACTAAAAATATAAAAATTAGCTGGGCATGGTGGCACATGCTGTAATCCCAGTTACTTGGGAGGCTGAGTCAGGAGAACCACTTGAACCTGGGAGGCAGAGGTCGCAGTGAGCCAAGATCACCACTGCACCCCAGCCTGGGCAACAAAGCAAGATTCTGTCTCAAAAAAAAAAAAAAAAAATGGGCTGAGCACGGTGCTCAAGCCTGTAATCCCAGCACTTTGGGAGGCTGAGGCGGATGGATCATGAAGTCAAGAAATCGAGACCATCCTGGTCAACATGGTGAAACCCCGCCTGTAATCCCAGCTACTCAGGAGGCTGAGGCAGGAGAACTGCCTGAGCCCAGGAGGCAGAGGTTGCGGTGAGCCGAGATCGCACCATTGCACTCCAGCCTAGGTAACAAGAATGAAACTCTGTCTCAAAAAAAAAAATGATGGTTTTATAAGGGGAAACCTCTTTCATTTGGCTCTCATTCTCTTCTCTTGTCTGCTGCCATGTGAGACATGCCTTTCACCTTTCTCCATGATTGTGAGGCCTCCCCAATCACGTGGAACTGTAAGTCCATTAAACCTCTTTCTTTTCTAAATTGCCCAGTCTTGGGTATGTCTTTATCTGCAGCATGAAAACTGACACACTGGCCATGCTGGCCTTCCTTTCAGTCCTTGACTGTGTCATACTCATTGTTCCCTCTACCTGCAGTACCTCCACCCTCTCCAGCTAGACTGCTCTTCCTCATACTTAGTGTCTTATCTCAAGTAGGAAGTCTTCTAAAAATCCCCAGGCAAGGTCGGTTTCATTAATTATACCATCTCACATTAAGAGAATCATAAGAATATGCACCTCTAGTTATACCTTGATTAGTACAATTACTGGTTTAATGCCTGTGTGCCCATCAGCCCATACATTCCACTGAGACAGGAACACATCTGTTTTGCTCACCATTTTATTTCCAGCTCCTAGAACATGACTCAACACAGAAAAGGATCTCAGAAAAGATTGCTAAATGAATGGTGTAAACATCAGAATCCTTAAATTACTGAAACCACATAGAGCTACATGCAGCTCATAATCTCAGTAGGAGTATCAAAGAATTATCACATTAAGGCTAATTTCAGAAAAAATGGTTTAGTTCTACCTTAACTGCAGTACCAACTCTCCCAAGGTTACAGTTACCGAAGTTGTGGGTTGAGGCATCTCTATTCTTTATTTTGTTTTGTTTTGTTTTGTTTGCAAGACAACAGCTAAAGAGTAAAGTGCATTAGTTCAATCAATTATTCTGCCCCATCCAAACAAAATACTCTATCATCTTCTAGGATTTTATATATATATGTGCATATATTTATATGTAAAAGCATGTTTATGTCTCCCATCTATTAATATGCATGTCCCTTATTGATGAGAATTGTCTTTTATATTCCTTCCTTTTATATTCCCTTTATACTCTAAGCATGCTGAGGGCATTTAATAAACATTATGAAAATAACGTCACAACATGTTGGAAGTTATTCAAAAGAAAGGCAGTGTATGAAAACAGAGCAGTGATATTATCTATAAGCAGGCATTCCATCTAGCTTCTAATGTAAAACAAAAGCTGATTGTGGTTATGTTATGCCATAGCAGCAAGGACTGAAACAAGGAACAATATATAACTAACATGGGGACATCTTATATATAAATCAGAAACAACAGGAGTATATGAAGTATAAAATCAACAGCAAATAGTGTAAAGCCCAACCTTTTCCATAACGATAGCTACATTAAAAAAAAAGAGAGAATAACTTCTTCCCTCCTGGCCCTCTAAAGCTCCTCTTCTGTACCATCACACACTAATGCAACTGTGTACACAACACTAAGTCAATGAATTTTATCTCTTGTTGCTGATTCGGTCAAGTTTTCGTGCTTTTTCTTTCTGAGTGGTGGACCATCACCCTTGCACCTGGAATTTTCGTATCTCTATCCTTTCTAGAACCAAAGTGTGTTCTTAGGAAAGGCACTGTAAATTAGTTTATACTAAAAAATGTCTGGTAGACTCAATGTTTCAGTTCTTTCAGAGACACCTGCATTTGATCAGAAAATTAAAACTTAAGCCAAACAAATGAGTTCACAGAGTTTGTAATTTCAAAAAAATAGTCATTGAAGTTTTTGGTTTACTTTTGTTTCTAGCAGCAGGAATGAACCTTCCCAATGTTCCTAAATTTTCATATCACAAGCAAGCTAATGACTTCTGAATAGAGAGCTGAGACCCACTTGTTACACTGGCTTTGCCCCTGAAGAGGAGCTGTGTGGCCTTTCGGGAATCACTGACAGCTGACAGCTTCACCTAAGCATGCAGCAAAACCCCTCACCAGTCTAATGACTCCTTGCACAGAGTTTGCAGCATCCTTGTACATAGTTCTGTAAGGTAACCAACCGACCCCCGCAGAGGGTTTGCCTAAGAGACTAAGGTATTTCCTGGGACACAGGATTTTTCAGTGCTGAAATAGGGACAGTTGGTCACCTAGTTATGAAGCACTGTGGGTGGGGTCACCGGCACTGTGGCCACCTTGAGGAACCTGTCTGTTCTCTTGGGCTGCTTCTCTACTCGGTTTTCCCTCCTACCTTCTTCAATGTATAAATTCCTCCAAATCTGTACCCACGTTTTAAAAAAGTTATTTACCTCCATTCTACAAATTAACC